GAGCTGGGGCTTTAAGAGAGGAAAGCAAATGCTGTGAGGCTTGTGATAACATTGCAGGAGTTGGCAACAGCCACTGGTGCTGAACTGTGGGTGTTGCTGTGAATACTGGCTGCCATTCGGCGTTAGGCAGTCACGTCTCGGCAGGGGATGGAAAACCCGGCAAAGCTCTTTTTTTTTATTTTTTTTTTTTTTTTCTCTCTCTTTCTGTTGTTGCAGGAACAAAAGCGTAAATCACAAGCCCTTGGCACTGGGCGGGATTTTGGGCTTCGCTGGGTCCTGGTGCTAAATTACATTCCCTCAGATCGTTTGCTCCCTTGTTCATCAGCCAGCAAGAAACATGAGGCTGCGAAGGGTGTCTACACATAGGCGTGTGTGTCTGTGCGTGACTGCGTGTTTGTCTTTGGTCCCACACCCAACACGGTCAGGGCCAAAACGTATTGGGGAAATGTTTAAAAATGGTATTGTAGCTTAGATCACTCTACCTCTGCTACAATAACAGCAATGGGGGGGGGATGCGGTAACGGCCCGACTGTCCAACCAAGAGTTAAAGCGTGATGCTGTGCAGCGCTGAAAGTTGGAGGTAGGCAAGTCTGACCAGATCCGGGACCCTCGGGTGCTTTGTACCTGTGCTGAACCACACCTGGCCACAACACAGTTGTCCAAAGAGTGACTGTGGTGTCTAACCGGTCTCTTGTCCAATCTTAAAAAAAAAAGTACATGATCTTAAAAAATCACCCTGTGAAGGGCCTTAAGATTTCCCCTGCTACAGCCCTCTGCCCCCAGACAGGACCAGGTCCCCTTGCCAGTCCCTGGCAGCATCCGTGTGGCGTTGTGGTGGGTTAGCATCCCCGCTGCCAGGGAGCCCCACAGAGGCAGCTCAGCCCCGTCTGTGCGGTGACCAAGCTACTCCTCTGACCCAGCCCCACTTTAACCCTGCCATTCCCCGAGCCCTCTTTGCCACTGTCATGTCTGAGCTGCTCTTTGGTATCCATTAACATCTGACCAGCAGCCAGAGGAGATGAAGTCTGAAAGATGCTCCAAGTGTTCTGCAAGAGCTAACCCCAACCTGGAAGTCACAGGGGGTCCCTGTACCCGAACTAGCTCCGTGCAAGGTTTTGAAATAGCTACATTTCTAAGTCAAATGCCGATAAAGACCTGAAGGCTGAGGAAGGAGCTGAGCGCATCTTCCCACCGTGTGTCAGCCCCGCAGCTGGAGCTGTGCTGCTTTACCCTCTCGAGACCGGCCCCGAGCAGAGCAGCAGAAGCAGGGTGAGCGGGTGCGCAAGGGCGATGCTGGCCTAGAGAGAGCAGCCCCAGCTGCAGACACTGGCCGGGATGAGCCAGATAACGCCGTTGATGGCTGTTGTTATTATTTTGCTGTTTCTTCAGCACTGGGCGATGAGCTCACAGCCCAACTGTGCCAGGCACGGCACGGACCACGGAGGAGAAGAGTCACTGCCTGTCCGGGAGCACCCGCAGTCATGACAGAGCAGAGCAGGAGCTCTCCCCTGGGCAGGAGAGGGGCAGGCACAGGGATACCTGGGTGAGCAGCGAGCAGACCCCTGCACCCGCATCCCTTCTCCCCTTTCAAAAAGGAAAGACTCACCAGGTGCCATCTGAGCAGAGCTAGGGATGAATCCCACATGTTTGTCATCTCTGGTTGTCCTTATACCCCTTCGGACATCAGCCCTAGCAAATTTTGGCAATTTGGGAGTTTAGGTAGCACAGACACAGCCTGACGGGGAGCTTGTTCCAAAGTGACATCATTTAACAACAATTCCTAAGAAATAGGTCCCAACTAGCAGCGAGGAGTTGTGCCTCCAGGCAAACAGATGCTGGTTCAAGGCTGTTATCAGGTAGAGCGTGTGGGTGAAAAACCTTCTCCGCAGCTTGTCTGTTGCCATGAGAAGAAGCAAACAAAGCAGGGACAAGGCTGGACTCCAAACAAATGAGGCTGCTGACTGTCTGGCACCGCGTCCCTGCTGGAGATGGTGGTGAGATGCTCCCTTCTGATGAGGGCTGGGGCTGCTCAGCAGCAAAGTGTCTCAGCTCTTGGCAGGCAGCTGCTCCAGCGAGAGCGAGAGTCTCCAGATCCAGGGACCCAGCCGTCCCAGGAAGGTAACCAGTGCTTAGATGCTTACAGAGGGAAAGAAAGGTGAAAAAAAGTTGAGTTTCCATTTGCTTGACTTCTCTCTTCTCTCCTGCTATACACACACAGCAGCAGCAGGGCCCCTGGGCGCTGCCCACGGTGGGAAGCATCATCCATCTCTTGTGTCTCCTGTTCCACTCTGCAGCACGATTTACACCTCTCTGATCATTCATGCACTGAGGTGCTGCTGGAGTGATCACGCTGAAGACTGCAGGTCAGCTCGGAGCCGTGCGAGTCTCTGAGCAAGCAGATGGATCCTGCTCAGTGTTCCCATCTCAGCTGGCTTTGGCTTGGTGCTTGTGTCTTGAGCTGAAAGGTTGTTGAAAGGCACCAGAGACCTATTTGTGACCTGGTGTGTTGGTCCAACCAAAGATCATGTTTTCACGAGGGCATTTTGGAATCAGAACTCCTTTTATTTTTTTTTCTTAAACAAAAAAGCAAGCAATGAAAACATGTTCAACATTTGCTCAGGGTTGGCTTTTCCAGCTCTTTCACAGCACCTTCAGGCAGCCAAGACATGGGAAGAAAAAGAACCCTGGAAGAAGTTTCACATGTGGATACGACATACTGCAAAGATTGCCAGCAAACTACGAGGCAGTGATTTTAAGCAGCGGGAGTGGGGACCCCCTCCTTCGCCTCCCCTCTCCCCTTTGCGTAAGGAAGCCCTGTGCCTACAGAGGAACAGCGTAGCTGATTGTTTGCAGCGCTGGGAAATTGTGTGCATTGGAAGTAAAACTTCTAGACAGCAAGGATGCATCTGGGCGGATGCACACATGTGGTGGAGGGAGATGACTAAGGGAGTGGGGGTAAGGGGGGGTGGGTTTGGCACATGATCTGCTTCCCAGCCTGTTCAAGAGCTTGGGCAGAGATGAGGCTGCAAGCGAGTGCTGGAATGAAGGCCAGGAACTGAATCTGCAGTGCCCTGGCTATCCCACCGCACTCATTTTCCTCATTCAGTCTCTGAAACTTTAGGAAAACCCATCTGCTTACGTGTCTGGCAGGACAGGGAAGGCTCTGCCGGTGTCAGGGCTCAGATCCCTCCCTAGCTCACTTGCGTGCGTCCACATGAAAAGTGTGTTGCTTTGAATGTCTTTTGGATCTGTAATCATGAAAACTCCCTTCATGGAAGGAAGGACTGGATGGGCTTACCTGTATGAGAAGACTGGAAGCCCTGTTTCACCAGGAGATGAGGAATCTGCAGAGTGGGCACCGTAATACCATCACTAGGGAGGCTGTCAGGGCCCCTGGTGCCTCCGGATGAAATGTGTTTATGCCACATGTGCCAGGGCATGCCTTGGAGAGCTTCAAGCTGAGCACACTGGATTTATGCTGTGCTGTAGCTTCTGGGAGAGCACGCTCCTGGTCCATACAAAGGAAGACAGAAAAGAAAGGTGTGAGCTGGGGATCAGACAAGGGCTCACCAAAAGAACTTCAAAGTCTCTGATTCCTCGGGAGATCTCATGTCTTCCCTACTGACAGACAGTGCTGAGTCCTTCTTGTTCAACTGGTACTCAGCTTTCTATCACCCACTGCATTTGGCTTTCTGCATATTGCTTAACAGTTCGAGCTCTGTGTTTTCCACTAAGCAGGGATGCTTGGTTCTTGTTCTACCGTGGTGCTGCACAGCTGTGTTTAGAGAAGCCACCTACATGATGTGGAGCATCTACCAGCTGTCTGGTCTCCCTGAGTGCTCTCCCAGTGACACTTGGCCATGGACTGTCCTCAGAGCTTGGGCCAAGGAGCAGCAAACCAGTGGATGCCCCAGAAGCTGAGAGCAGGACTGGGCCCTCGCTCTAATGTCATTTCAGATTATGCGATACGAAAAGCATGGTCTGGCAATCACATGAGCGCCAGCCTTCTCATGGGGTATCCAAGCAGTCCTGCTTTCAGCTGGACAAGACAAAAAGCATCTTTATAACCGTTGAGCAAGCCTGTGTGCCCATCCCTACCGAGAAGATCAAACCCTGTGTGTCTTGGCAGTGGTGTTTGCGGTCACATGCTGACCTGTCACACTGGCTGATGAGAGCTTCTGGCACTGTGGTTCTACACGGAGCTGGAGAGGGTATGAGCATGAGCCGTGTAACTCCCAAGCTGTGTGTTTTCTTCATTACCTTCAATAAAGGGCCATCGCGCACTTGGCAAAACCAAAAGCTTGTGGGTTTCCTTTTCGTCTTACCCTGGGGGCTGGGTGAAAGGAGGAGTCTATCTAATCCAAGGCACACATGTGTGTGCAACTGGCATCCAGCTGGATCCCGAGGGGAGGGGGAACACAGTTTGGGGAACGGTCAGTTAATCCTGGGGCTTTGGAGAGCGGTGAATGTAGTGTTGCATCTGAGCGGCTCCCTGGAGGACTTCCAGGCAACAGGAACAGCAGTCGTGAATACAGATGGCTCCTCATTATATTTGCTTATATGAAACAGAAGTATTATATGAGATTAATATTGCACCAAAGTCTGGCTGAAAGTAGGAAAGCAAATCCCCTCCCTTTTCTTCTTAAAAGTAGCTCATGTGCTGGCCCAGGATCACAGCCTAACACTTGCATTTGCATCTGCACCGATGAGTCTGGTCCAAACTGAAGTTTGCATCCCAAATATGAGCAAATCTGGGGCAGGGCCTGACCTTCTCAGCACACACACACCCACCCCCCCGCCATGCCTTCCCAGAGCTTGCCAGAGGCTTTCTTGAAGGAAAACCCATCTCCTCGGGGGTGAACCCCAGGGGACTGTGACACCTGGGCGCTAGGACAGAGCTATTGAAATAACCGCAGGTGCTGGTTTTGGCTGGGAGAGAGTTAGTTGTCTTTATGGTAGCTGGCATGGGGCTATGGTTTGGATTTTTGATAACCCTGGGATGGTTTAGTTCCTGCTAAGCAGGGCTTGCACAGAGCCAAGGACTTTTCTGCTCCTCGCCCCACCCCACCAGCGAGAGGCTGGGGGGTCACGAGCTGCTGGGAGGGGACACAGCTGGGACAGCTGACCCCAACCGACCCCAGGGATATCCCTCACCATACGTCATGCTCAGTGCCTAAAGCTGGGGGAAGAAGAAGGAAGGGGGGGACTTTCGGAGTGATGGCATTTGTCTTCCCAAGTCACCGTTGCGCGTGATGGAGCCCTGCTGTCCTGGAAATGGCTGAGCACCTGCCTGCCGGTGGGAAGCAAGGAATGAATTCCTCAGTTTGCTTTGCTTGCATGTGTGGCTTTTGCTTTACCTGTTAAACTGCCTTTATCTCAACCCGTGGATTTTCTCATTTTTACCCTTCCAATTCTTTCCCCCATCCCACCGGAGGGGAGCGAGCGAGCGGCTGTGTGGGGCTCAGTTACCAGCTGGGCTTAAACCACGACACTATAAAATAAAAATAACTGCTAGTTCCTATCTGCTGCCTTAATAACGTAAGGCTTCCAGCACATCACCTAGCTGCTATCTCACTTTTCTATGCTGTGTTACCTCTAGATTTTGTGGCTTTATTTTTTTTTTTTTTGCCTTTTTTTAAATTTCATTTTTACCTTTGTGCTGGTGGACTGAAGCTACGAGGAGGCCGATCATAGGCTGGTGCCATGCCCTGGGTGCCCTGGTCCTGCAGCAGCAGCTCCTCCATCCATCCCAGCTCAGTTGCTGCCACCAGCTGCCGGCAGGTCCCCACTGCAGCCCGGGGGGCTCCGGGTGCGCCGTTTCATCTCAATCCTTTTCTTCTGCTTTCATCCATCTCCTCTTCACTTCTCCCCTTTCTCTCCTTTCTTATACCTAATCTCTGCCCAAGTGCAAATGCAACCAGTTCACATCAAGCCTCGGTGGTGGTAGATAATTTCATGAAGTTTTAAGTTCAAATACCTGAAACATTTCTAGGATCGTCAGCAATTCTTTCTTCACCCAATTTCCAGTTGCATCCTATGAAGACATCTCCCTGTCCCTTTCCCCCTCCAGCTGCATTACTGGAAAGCAGCCTGGCTGGGGTGCTTTCTGCCCAGCAAGGTTTCTGCCTGTCGGGATGCCCAAGGTGCTGGCAAAGCCAGTGCACATTAAACTCATTAAAGTCCCTTCTGATATCGCTTAGAGCAGCCTTGTGTATAGGATGTGAGGCAAAGACATGAGTAAACAGCTAAGGTGATTTTCATTTGAAAATCCTCAAAGTTCCTTTTTTCCTCTACCTCTTATTGAAGGAGGGGGAAGCTCCTCTGCTTCCCTTGAGGAAATTCCCCGGAAAGCATAGCTTCAAGAAAAAAGGCTTTTCCAGATGAATAAGAAAAAAATGAAACCCGAGCCCCACCTTCCTCTGTCCCTTTGCATCTGGAATGATGGGTTGGTATTTAATTTCCCTGTAATGGAATACAGCACGTTTCCTTACACCCTTAGATGCCCACATCGACCAGAGCGTTCCTGAAAATTACTTAGGCGGCATGAGTGCTATATGCCAGGCTTAGACGATTTGCTATAGTTACAGAGTAGTCACGGAAATGTGGAAAGGCTTTGCAAGTGCAGCATTTACGGGCAATTTAAATTGAAAAGCAGCCATAATTTTGATACCTGGAAAGCTATCAACCATGCTGGTACCTGGTCTGTATGGGGCAGTAGGATGAAGCCATCTATAACTATCAGCTGTACCACGATGGGCACAGAAGAAGAACAGATTTAAGATTACTATTTATTTAATGTAACATGTAGAATAAATATGTTTATGTGTATATATACACATGAAAGAGAAGAAGAAATGCTAATGGTGCAGGATTCCCATTCTCAGTGTACTTCATTGTCTAACTCATAGAAGAAATCTGGGTAAAAGATAGAAGTGACTGTGCTATGAATTATAAAATGCCTGCTCCTCAGGGCCTGCTCTTTCTCTGAGATTTCTGCGTCCTACTGTTACGTGAATAATCCTGAATTTGCAGGGGATGTATGCTGGTATTAGTCTGTTAGATTTTCTCCTTCATTTCTCATAAAATTAATGCCTAAGTACACGTACAGGGCAAGAGTAAGCAGGCAGTACCGCTAAAGAATCATGTCATGAAAAAAGCCACTGAATGCCAGTGCAGCGATTTCTTGCATATACTATACACTACCCATAAATGTACAGTCTCTTGACAATTGGACTGCTATATATAAAACCAATGTCTTTTCTACTTTCCAGTTTCCCCTCAGAAAAATTCCACAAATAATGCTTATTCAATTCCCATCAGCTTCTGGACTCCTGACTCAGGCCTCTCTGAATAAGTCAGGCGTGTACATAACAAAAGACATTAAATATTAATGCCGAGGATTTTGTCACTGATTGTGCTATTAACATGTAGGGAACCATTCATCCTTTCCACATAAATAAACTCTGCCTAACGCGTTAGAGCTCTGCAAAGTCGGAGTTCACCTGACAATATATTCCCCCATTTCGAAAGATGAAAAAAAAAGGGAAAAGAGATGCATGAGCCGCTCTTTTATGGTTCCCTGCACTCGTACTTGGGGTTTTAAACCTAGACTAACAGGGCCATTAGAAAAAGAGGGAAAGGAAGAAGAAAAAAGAGGAAAAAAGGTCATGCTTAAGGTCATCCTGGTGGATGCAGCTGTTAGGTCGTGCACTGCCTTTAGCAGAGCCTTGCATGAGGCAGCCGCAGCACCACACTTGAGCGGGTCCGACACTGCCAGTGCAGGTCCTCCGTGCTCATTAGCTTGGCCTTTGCACCAAGACCTGCCAACGTACCCGTGTTTGTCTGCTCAGGCCTGTCTTACGGAATGGTTTCTGCTGGATTAGAGAAATTTAAGCACCCTCGTCCCTTCACATTCCACCATTTACAGGCAGTGGTGCTGCTGATGGACGTCGCCTGGCATTGCATCTCCCTGGCCCATCACAGCACGCATCACTGGCACTTTTTAAGAGCAGTGGCTCTTCAGAAACCTGAAGCTTCTATGCCACAAATAGTTTTCAGCTAAGTGCTTATTATTATGCTCATTTTCTATTTTTTTCGTGTAGTACAACCTCTCCAGCTCACGCTTGCAGCTCAGATAAATTGATACTGCCTCGGCGGCTGCACTTTTGCCCTGAAATCTCCGTGTCAGTCGTGTGGGTTTTAGATAGTTCAGGACCCCCTTCGGTTCGGAGGGCATAAATGCGGATTGCCTTTTGCAGCCCCTGCTCTCATGAATCACCTCTGAGGAGGCGACAGGGCTGATGGGGTTGTGCTGGGATTCCCCCATGCTCCGCAAGCTGCCGCCTCTGCAGCCGTTTGGGTTCTGCCACAATCAGGAGCTTGTGTCGAGTAGAAAGTGACAGGCTAATTTAAGGAAAAAAAAGTAGTATCCTGCTTTGTGAAAGCAGAGCCTTAGTCAGATGAGCTTGGAATTATAGTGGGAAATATAAAATGCATTGAGATTTTTTCCCCCCCGTTTCTCCTAATGTCAGCCATTCATCTCTCCTTTCAACATTCCCAGGCAGCAGGTCAGTAATGGGGGTGTCAGGTCTCATGCTGCAGGTGTTACAGCATCCAGTAAGGGTCTTTTTCTGCTCCTGACCAGCCCCGAACAACATGCCCCATCCAGAAGGTATATATATGTATATGTATATATCCACATACCCCATCTGGACTCTGGGCACGGAAGGCTTTCACAGATCCCAAGCCTGACTTCAGCATGATTTCAGACTGCTATGTATTTGATGTAAACCCCTTTTTGCCCAAGTTTAAGCTGGCCATTTTGCTGAACCAGGCAGCATCTTGGTCCCTTTCTGGCGGGAGGTGATGCGGCGGGCCTCGGCTCTCTCCCTTTGCTGGTTGCTGTGTCCTAATTTGTTTGTGGGTCTTGGCAAGGTCATGCCTTTGTCACGAGACCCGCAGTGCAGAGGACCGACCAATATTTTTTTTCATATCCATATTTCTTCTATATGTGTTTTACCTACATCTGCCAGGAAGTGGGCAGCAATACCAATAATTAGACTTAATGCTTGTATAGCACTTTACATTGTATTCATTAGCCATGTTACTAATGCCACTTATCAGGTATAATAGCAGATGCAATCAAACATTGCCTGGGACTCTTCCTTCTATTAAGGCTGAGTTCTGGCTTCTGTAAGCCAAGTTTCATTAGCAGAAGTGGTGGAGGGAGGGAGAGGTAAGGGCTGTTTCTGGATGGATGGCTGTCACCAGCGGAGAGCAGCAGCCACCAGCCACTACACACCTCAGAGGGGTGGCAACTTCCAGCTCCCGCTGCCACCACCCCGCAGCCCCCAGCCTCAAGCCCTGGTGGCTCAAGGATGTGCCCTGACATCCCCCAGACTTGTTTAATCCCTGCTAGATGTGAAGGCTGGCTTCTGGCTCCTTGTTCAGATGAGGACGTCTCTGGGGCCAGGGTGCAGGTGTGTGTGCTGCCACAGCTCAGCACTTTTTTGGAGGGCCCTTGTCTCTACTCTGCTGGAGCTCCTCGTGCAGACCATGTGAGATGGCTCAGGGCAGGAGAGGGGGACATGTGAGTATGCCTGTGAGTGTGTGCACCCACATACACGTGTGAGTGTGCCTGTGTGGATGGGACCCTGAAAACCAAGCCAAAAAGCCCTGCCCTGAACCTCTGCCAGTCTTTTAACACCCTGTGATATCAAATGCCTCTCACAGCAAACATCCTGGCATGTAAGCGATGGCTCCAGCAAAGCCATGGAATATGCATAATGTCTGTATTTTTGGAGCCATACTTTTCCTCCAGTTATCTTCCTTCCACTTGACAGCCCGCAAGCCATCAGAGAGGCTGCTCCATCACCACTTCACTTCTTGCTTTGCTTCAGTTTCCCTTGTATGCCTTCGCAACAGCATCTGACCACTGCTGGAGAGGGGTACCCCACTTTGCCTGGCTCTGCGACACAGTGCTAGGGTCCCCAGTGTCTTGTTCATGCAAGGGGTTAGAAGAGAAACCCCTGATGCTGTAGGTGGGATAAAAGAGGAGAATGGCTTGATTGTGGCTATGGGCTCTGCTCCCTTCACACGGCTGGGCCAGACCTCCCATCCCAGCCTCCTTCCCAGGAGGTCTGGGGCTGCTCGGTGAGCTGTGGGGCCAGACTGGGCCCCCTTTGGCTGTGTAACCATGCTGGCACGTGTGCCTGCATGATCAGCCTTTACACAGACACCTATTTCCTTGTGATAGAAGAGCTTATATAACTTTGTCCGTCTCTACGCCAGGTCCTTATTTGTTGCAGCTCAGCTTCGTTTTCCATTTACTGCTTGCAGCTCTGAAACAGTTGGATTGCTGCAGATTTCATCAATGTGGTCTTTTAAATAGGAACATGTTAGGCTTCCCCATCCTGCTGCCTTCGATGTCAGGCAGCCCGCGAGGCTCAGGTTCCCCGCCGGCACCATATGGCGCTGCGTTCTTCTCTCTCTGAGATACCTGGGTATGGCTAGCAGTGATTAACAGAGAGATTCACAGTTGTGCCTAGGGTGCGGAGGTAATTAGAAACACTGATAATCACAGCACAATGGTAAAGAACATCTCTGGGATTTATTGCCTTCCTCGTCGTTGATGCTGCAATGAGATTTAATACAAATTTACCCAAGCTAGATCTATCCTGTATAGGATACAGTTGAGGAAAAGCCCAACAGGGCCACTCTGCCACATCTTCCCTCGCTTGCGATCCCACCCGCAAGTGGAAGGTGACGTGGGGCAGAGCAGCCTTCTTGGGAGGGCAGTTGTGCTAGAGCTTGGAGAGCATCTCCGGGGCTGCCCCAAGCCCTCTCCAGGGAAACACAGTCATGAATGGTGCTGCACATCCTGAGCGTGATCCACGTGAGGTGCAGTGGATCGGACACACTCAGATAGAGTTGCTGTGATTTGAAGAATCCAAAGTATCAAAGAGCTGGAGAACTCAGAGGAAGGGTGACAGGTGTGCAAAGTGGCACTCAGCGGCACCCTGATAGACTGGCTTGCTTTTTAGTTTTGCCAAGGCCTTGATACTTGGTCTATAGCATACAGGAGTGCTGATAGTAATTTGACTTCTGAAGCGCTCCAACATCAAAGCAATCAGTGCACCGTACCAAAGACAAAATGCAATTAAGCTAGTGTATTGCGCTAGGGAGAATAAAGCTGAACTTCAGATTTGAGTTCCAATTTTTAAACGAGTGGGTGTGAAAACCCCTCAATGAATCACCTCCTGCATTTTGCATATGGAAGTGGTGCCACCAGTACAGTCACGGGAACTGTATCAGCAAATAATCAGATGAAGAGAAAATTTTCAGGCCCAATTTGTAATGCCGTCAACAACCACAAACACACCTGAGCTGGAGATTCAAGTCAGGTTTGCTGAGGAGGGGTAGCAGGCTGTAAAATAGAGGACAGAGAAGAAAAGTGGGGCGTGCGTCTGGAGGGGCCCTGGAAGCAGCCAAAGGAGGGATAACTCCTAGTGCTTATACAGCCTGGAGGGGCCAGTAGCACCAGTACTGCCTTACAGGTGGGGAAACTGAGGCACGGAGTGGGAAGGTAGCTTTCTAGGTGTCTGCTGACAGGGTGAGTGGCTGCACCTTCAGTTCCACTTCTTTACTCTATCCCTTTGGCAAGTACAGGGGATTCATGCTGCCCTGGAAATCCATCCCAGTTTCCTTTCTCAGAAGCCTGTTGCTCCATGCTCCTCTTCAGTGTTAGGTTACCAGAAGCAGCAATGGAAATTTGCCAGTGAAAATCTTTAATGCTCCCATTATCTGGACTAATTTGGGCATCTCTGCATGGAGAGATGTCGCAGGGTGTGGGCAACCCCCCCCATGTGCACTGGTGATGCTTTTTTCATAGTTCGGAGCTGCATTCTTCATTCCTCAGTAAGACCTCTCCTCGTGTTACCTGGTTCTCTCTTTTAATAACACAAAATGATTGTGGATGGATTTCCATGGCAGACTATGTTCTACCCTGTTGTGTTCACACAACACAAAATTGCACAGACAGTAGGATTTTCCCTGCTGCTGCTCTTCTGGCAGTGGACACCCAAATTATAAACACAAGGGGATTTTGAACAGAACAGGCTTATTCCGCCGTAGGATTATCCCTGAGACATGGCACCTTCCCCAGCCTCACCCTCTAGCCATCCCAGGGAGAGCCGTCTCGACTGTAGCAATGGTCTAATATATAAAGTGGAGAGATGAAGGATGCCAGCATAATACCCAGTCATGCTGGGATTCCCTTCTACCTACAGCTAGAAACGTGCCTGTATGACAGCAATTCAAAAAAAAAAATAAAAAAAAAATCCCCCATGTAATGAAGAACTCTGCTAGAGCGCTGCAACGTTTAGGCACTGGGTTGGCTTTTATTACCATGATAAAATTACACAAGCTTCGCCTCGCTCCCTCTTTGCCTGCTGTGCAGCTTCTCGCTCTCTCCTCTCCTCGTCGGCTGCCTCCGCACGCTCCCTCCCCGCTTGCTTTGCAGCCAGGGTGGGGGCGGCGGGGATGCAGGTAGGACAGGCAGCCCTGGGCTCCCTCCCAGCCCTGGGCTCCCTCCCAGCCCTGGGCTCCCTCGGCTGGGATCCCCTGGGCTGCAGCACTGGCGTGCGGCGCCCGGCAGGACTGCATCGCTGCTAGGGGAGATGCCAGCGCAGAGCCTCAGCAGCAGCACCGCCGCCAACTTGGGGTGCTCAAGGTAAGAGCGAGTCGCTCCCTCTGCTTCACTAAAAAGGGGTGAGAGGCAGCTGCCGGAAAGCTGGCAGCCCCTGGGGTCTCGGTGCCGAGCGCTGGGCAGCGGTGGAGGCAGCTCAAGGGGCAGGGAAAAGCTCTCTGCAAAAAAACTAAAACAAAAGATGCTGCCGAAAACGAGGATGCTCAAGGGCGCGGAGTCGGTGGCTGAGTTGGGATGAACCGGTGGGAACTGTCGGGGACTCCGTTAGTTTAATGAGATTTGGGGGGGTCAGCGCAGTCGGGAGCGAAGTAGCAATTTGACCTAGCCCCGTTCTGCTCCCATCTGCCCTTGCCTCTGCAGGGAGCCGAGGAGCTGCTCTGCTTTAGAGTTTTAACTCGAGCTGAAGCAATTTTTCAAGGAGTGCTCCTGATGTGTGCCCAGGTCATGGTGGGCTGTGGCGAGAGAAGGAGAAGGTGTTTGCATGGGGCGAGGGGCTGCCGTGTCCCCATGGGAGCTGTGTGTGCCTGCGGGTGCGCCGGTACCCCGCACGCGCCGGCCCCGTGCACCCCGCTGGCTCCCGCACTGCCAGCACCCATTTTAATTGTCCTCCCCTCATTATCCTCCCCAGTCTCCAGGAGACCTTAAATGCAGCTACAGCTAAAAAACCTTCCTGTTAGGAAGGATTAAATGAAGCCATAGGGAGAAAGCGATGATTTGGGGAGGTGGCGGGGCTGGCTCTTTAAACGGTGGCTGTTGCGGGACACGGGTTCTCTGGCGAGAAGTTCCCATACTTGTGTGCATGCCTATAGCACATCCTATAGCACATCCAGGCATACATCTCTGCACGGACTATTTCTCTTTTAGAGGGCAAGTGTTGTTCAAGGGAAATTTTCATTACATGTGTCAAACTGCAGTAATATGATCCATAACACCGAGATCCCGTTAAAAATAATGGGTGGGAACTGGCTCCACAAGGACATTACTTGTCAGGGATGAGCTCATCTCAGGGAAAAAAAAAGAAAAAGAGTTACAACCTGATGATCATAATGTGTAGATGAGGAGCAGTGCGGTGCTTTCTGTGCACTGAGGGGAGCCTTTGCTGTGTTTAGGTTGGACGCTTGTAAGCACGTACTAGAGCTTAAAGGGGTCTCCTGCCATGGGGAATTATGGCAGAAATATCAGGTGGGATGACAGGAAGTCATGCGTCTGACATGGCATGAAAATTGCTGTTTCATGGCTCCTCTGGATCCCTAGTGTTATCATTTGGGGAAAAAGAGAGGAAAAGGGTTAATTCTCTGGCATATTTAGCCAGGCATTGAATATACAGTGCTGCACTGATCGTCCCAGGGTGAAAGCACTGAGCCAGATGTCTGCTGCTCATTTGGAAATACACCTTAGTGCCTCTGCCCTAAATGACGTGTGACACGGACTATTTCTCTTTTAGAGGGCAAGTGTTGTTCAAGGGAAATTTTCATTACATGTGTCAAACTGCAGTAATATGATCCATAACACCGAGATCCCGTTAAAAATAATGGGTGGGAACTGGCTCCACAAGGACATTACTTGTCAGGGATGAGCTCATCTCAGGGAAAAAAAAAGAAAAAGAGTTACAACCTGATGATCATAATGTGTAGATGAGGAGCAGTGCGGTGCTTTCTGTGCACTGAGGGGAGCCTTTGCTGTGTTTAGGTTGGACGCTTGTAAGCACGTACTAGAGCTTAAAGGGGTCTCCTGCCATGGGGAATTATGGCAGAAATATCAGGTGGGATGACAGGAAGTCATGCGTCTGACATGGCATGAAAATTGCTGTTTCATGGCTCCTCTGGATCCCTAGTGTTATCATTTGGGGAAAAAGAGAGGAAAAGGGTTAATTCTCTGGCATATTTAGCCAGGCATTGAATATACAGTGCTGCACTGATCGTCCCAGGGTGAAAGCACTGAGCCAGATGTCTGCTGCTCATTTGGAAATACACCTTAGTGCCTCTGCCCTAAATGACGTGTGGCCCTAAGACTTCATGCAGTGGGATGCCCATGGTCAGACTACCCTGTCCTACAGGACAACCTGGAGAAAGGAGCGGGAGCAGAGGCAGCATCCAGGGCTGCTTCTGATTCCTCTTCCCAATGGAAAAGCCCTCTTCTACCCTCCAGAGGTCCTAGTTAGCTCCTGCTGTCTCCCCTCTTCGGGGCCCTGCTGGGAAAGGCATGTCCACCAGTATTACATGAACTCAGCTGGAGATCAGATCTGCAATGACACCTTTGGTTTTCCTGACATGATTTTGCAAACGCACAATGCCAGTGCTGGGAGAACCCTACCAGAGCATCAAAACCAGACCCAAAAAGCAGCCAACAGGAGACAGCATTCC